CCGCCTCCCGCCCCGTGTGTCGCCTCGGGCAGGGGCCGCGCGCTGCAAACGTGTCCGCCGCGTCAGGGCCGGGCCGCGCGAGCCGCCCGCGCCGGGGCTGCCCCCGGGAGAGGCCTGGGGCGGGCGGCGGCAGCGCCGCCTCGGGCGGGGGCCTCGCTCGGCCCTCACCAGGGCCGCCCGCGCTGGGAGGTTGTGCGTGACAGCGCCCGGGGGACACGGCCCGCGAGGCGGCCCCGCTCCTGGCCAGCCCCTCGGCGGCTCCGGGGCCGCCGCGCTCGGGCCCTTCCGCGGGGACACGCGGGGACACGCGGAGGCCTCGGCCGGAGAGCGGGGCGGCTCTGCCCCCCTCCGCCCCGCACCAGCCCGGGGCGCGGCGGCCCCGCGCCGTTAACGGCCGCGCACGTGACAGCGCCGCTTCCTGCCCGCGCCGGAAGCGGGCCGGGGCGGCCATGGCGGCCGCGTCGCGCACCGCGCTCATCTTCGGCGGCTTCGCGGCCCTCGTGGCCGCCGCCTTCTACCCCATCTACTTCCGGCCGCTGCTGCAGCCCGACGAGTACAGTGAGCGCGGGGCGCCGGGGGAGGCCGCGGGGCCGGGCCGGAGCCCCCAGCGCAGCCGGGGCCGGGCCGCAGCCCCCCGCGCGCCCTCGGCCGCCGCGGCGCGGGGAAGGCGGGAGGGCCTCGGCGCGATGGGGCCGGCCCCGCAGCGGGCCCGCGGCGCTGCAGCGGGATTCGCGGCGGCGAGCTCGTCCCGGGGCCAAGGGGCTCCTGGCCAGGAGCAGAGCAGGGGCTGCCCGCCCTACCAGCCTGCCAGAGCGGCCTCAGTGTCACCCCGGGGCCCAGGAAAAGTCTGTCCCGCAAGCGGCTGCAATTCTTTAAGGAAACGGCAAATCTAGAAGTTGCCCATAAACGTTTTTTCCCCTCTGTGTACCTATTTAAAAACCCTCGTGTGTTTGCTTGCAGCATGCTTCCTGCAAGCGGTATAGGTGTTGGTCAGTGCTAAGGAATAACAAAATTGATGGATAAGCTCCCTCCTTTGCACCTCTGAGTTACATGACCGACCCTAGCAGATTAAGGATTTTTTTTTTTTATATAATCTCCATTTAGCCCACAGGGTGGGCAGTATGCACTTAGCAAGTACTTAACCTGCTATTTAGTGCATGATTTTAGGCTTCATTTATGACATGCTGGTCAAATTCTGCTTTGATGATCCCTTTATTATTTCTTGTGGTCTTCCCTTGACATCAGTGTAGCAGGAGTGCTGCTTAAACCTTTGTTCCCATCTGCTGAGAACATGGGAAGCAGATGCATTAGTGCTCATCTTTGGTGTGCAAAAGTTGTTATTTTCAGAGCTGCCTAGTGAGCTGTGTGACAGCAAAGCTGTTGCTGGAGCTCAGACCTCCCATGGACTTGAGTGCTGGTCCAACACTCAGTATTTCCTTGTGTTGGGAGGCTGGGTCTGCAGCTAGGCATGGGGAACAGCTTCACAGAGGAACACTGCAAAAGGCAGGAATGGATTCTAGTCCAGGGGAGTGATGCTGCATCTGTGAGCTTGAAACGCCTGCTTGCTTTCATCTTGTATTTACTGGGTGCCTTCCAAGTTGGGGACAAGCAGCACAGTGGAGCAGCTGAGTTACCAGGACAGCTTGGTAACACTTAGATGTTCGTGAGTTTTGCATTTAAAGTGAGCTTAGTTGCTGCTTCCCCTGGAGGTGTGTGAACTTAGAAGATTTAGAAGTTCAGTGGGATGGGAAAAAGGCCAATCCATCCCAGCTTTGATTTTGCGCTCCAAAGCACTACAATAGCAAAGCACTTAACAGGATGTAGATTTGCCTGCTTGCGCTCTTGGAAGTGCTTGAGACTTAGAACCTGAGTCAGATCCGTTGCATGGAAAACATTGCCCCTGGTATTTAATTTCATGAGTTGCTGCCGTGAAATCTGCTTGTGTTGAAATGTAACGTTTTTCAGGGCCTGAAATTGGAGATCACCACTATTGGGCAGGAAAGAGAGGGGGGGAAAAAAAAAAAAACAGAAAAACACTCAGTTTTATGTTGGGCATATGAGTAATAGCTCCTAAAGGTACTAGTCATTCCTTAAATTATAGTGTCATGGCAGTTTTTTTCCTTTTTTTTTTTTTTTTTTTTTGTTTGTTTGTTTTTTAAAAAGACATACTCATTCCTTTAAGTTGGTTTTCTTAAAGTTTGGCTATAATCTCCCCAAACAGACCTGCTATGACCAGAATTTACAGGGTATCATCTAGAACAAATATAATTTTCAATATCATTTTATTAAGTGTTCTCACGATGTTTGGTACTTTCTTTTTATTATTCTTTCTGTTCTGTTTTCCAGAGAAAGAGCAGCTAATAAACCGAGCAGGAATTATTCAAGAGAACATTCAGCCTCCAGGTACACTTGATTCATGTGCTTGTATTTATTGTTTAACAGGTCTTGTGAAATAAGATCTGAGTATTTCTGAGGACTTAAAGAGTAGATTCAAGTAATACATTAAGTTTATTATAAATTTAGAATAAATTATCAAGAAAACGTTTCCTTGAGCCAGTTCTTCTCTTAAAATTTCTGAATTCAACAAAGTTTGTTTCTAAATTAACTGACCAATTAAGTTGTATTAAATCCGATTATCTCCGTGCTTTATTAGATAGATATCAAATTCCATATTAGAAATTAATTTCTAAACCAGCTCAAAGTGAGCAGCAGCCATAAGTATTCTGAGACCTGACTGTAACAAATATACTTTCCTTTTGTGCAATACTGCTTTCAGCTCAGCTTAGGCACCTTTTAGGAGCTTTAGCTCATAAGCCTCACAGGGTGAGAAGTCAAAAAATCCAGGAAAATGTTGAAAGCAGTGCGAAGAGCTGCTGCTACTGGGTGAAGGGATAGAAAAGGATACAAAGGGAATAAAAAACCAATATACTGTGACAGACCATCCTTGATAGTTTGCTGTTTCATAGGTCATGGAACTGATGTTAAGTATTCAAGGTTGGAGCATTTATATGCATGTGGATGCTTGTCTTGATAAAATAACTCATATCTAAGTACGTTTTTGGGGGATTTTTTTTTTCTCCTATCTATAAAAAAAAAAAAAAAAAAAAAAAAAGAAAAAAAAAAAGAGCAGCAGGGAGAACCAAGTAGGATCAATACGATGTTCTTCCTGCACTCATTAGCTAGGCCATTAGTGCAGGACTCGCAGTCCAAGCAAATGCTAAAGCATTGAAGAGATACAGGAAAAAAGTTAAAAAAAAAAAAAAAAAACTTACACCTGCCTTTTCTAAACAAAATATTAAAGAGGATGGACCTATGATATTTATCTGAGATGTAAACACTTCATGTCCAAGGCTACTCAGTACAAATTTTCATCACCAACTAGTCAAAAGTAAAATCTGGAGAAATTAAAAATAAAGTGCTATTCTAGATGAGGGTAATAACAACAAACCACCTTACCTATGTATTTTCCATTATTTGAGGCCAAAGATCAAGATGATGTTGTCTTTCCAAAATACATATATAACTTGAAAGAAAGTTGTGACCCGAGTACAGAAACTGTTAGAGAGGGTCTGGCTTCGCTTTGTGCACGAGGCGGGGCTAGCAGACCTAACTTGCATGAACAGGTTAGTTCTGAACTGCTGGAATTTCGTGTTTGATTTGTAGGATTAAAAGTGTGGTCTGATCCCTTTGGAAGAAAGTAAGCATGGCCGGCGGAGTGCGATGCGTGGTGCGACTGTGGAAGCACGTCTGCAGTTGCCTCTTCGTATCCTGAAGTGTCTTCAAGCGTGGCCAGAGGAGAATGTGGGCACGTGAGGAGGAACAAATGCTGCTGGCTGGGATGCCGGGGGGGGAAAAAAAAAAAAAAAGAAAAAACCTGTTTGGCAGTGGATCTGGGGGCATAATGCACTGACTGTAAGCGAGCTGAGTGATTCTTGGGTTTAGAATTGAAATATTTATTTCCTTGACAAGAGGGAAGTGGAATTGCTTTAGTGGTTAATCTGTAAACATTTCTAGAATAAATTATGAATAGAATAAATGATGCAGACCGCTACAACTTCCTCCCTGGTACGAGAATTACTTTTTGTGGTTTTATTATGAAAAAGTAATAGAGTGATAGAAGTATATACTGAGAGAGCGCTGCAGAAAATATAACAGAGTAAGTGTAAATTTGTATATTAAAAATCACTTCTTTTAAACTAATGTGTGGGATTTTCTTTTCATTTTGTTACTTGGTTTAGCATCAAATGTTGGGGGTGGAAAAATAGACCCTTTACAGGCCTTTACAGACTGTTTTTAAAATCTTGGGTTTATTTTGAGAAAAACGATCATTAAATAATTTAGTAAAGGACTGCCCCTGCTAAAAAGCTTCACTTGAATTGGATGCCTTTCTAAACAATACAATATGAATAAACTATAAAATATAGCTACAGTCGGTAATCTGATACTATCAGAGTACTAGTACAACATGTTCATTTAACTGTTATTTACTACCTTTTATTCCTTGCTTCTCACTTTATTCTTAGCACTTGAATATTGACAGCAGCCCCTTAAAGATCATTACAAGATTTAGGTAATCTACATGAGTGTATATACAGTGAATATTATTTGTTAAATTACGAGACAGTAATCTATTTTTCTATACCTTGCACACTTCAATAATAATTCGGATAGAATACTTGACATGTATGGTGCTTTTTTTTTTTCTCCCCTCTCTCTGTCACCAAACCATCATTTTGTTTTCTGCTGCTCATTCTCTATCTTTCATAGTCATTCCCCTCCCTCTCAGACACACACCTCTGATTTATTTATTTATTTTTAAAGACACTTCTGTTATCACAGTAAGCATTGCAGTTCTTCCAGTTTGTTTGCCAGGAAAATAGGAACACAGCCGACGCCTGTGAGTTCTCAGGTGCTCTTTTGCCACATGTAATGGCTGAAGCCAGAGTGGATTTACTGCATTCACTTGCGTGAGTGAGGCTGGCAGGAATTTTGCTGCCCAGAACATCCTAGTGCTGTCACGATGCTGCTAAGTCAGCCTTTCTAGGAAAAGCATCAGTTAACAAAATTAACAAAATGAATCTTAAGAAGTTTGAGAATTATTATAGATATTATTAAATATATATTCTATAATATATATATATTATAGAATTATATTCTTAAGAATATCCCATAAAGAATTTGTAGCTGTTCATGCAAAGAATTTGCTTGCTATTGCAGTGAATAAACTCAGAAGATGATGCCTGTTTCAATAATGATCATTTTCCCATTTGTTGTGATTCATTTAATTAAGTGGCTAATCCATAAGGTGTTAAGTGTTAGAATAGTGGAAGTCTTTTAAAAATGTTTGATGTTTTAGCTGATTAAAACCAATTACTCTTCTTGGAAGCCAACAGAAAATAAAAAATGAGCATCTGTCATATTGCAATAACTCCCCTGAAGTTTGGCTTAAGGTTTCTGCTATTTCTTTGGGAGTTGCCAGTTGCCAGGAGATTTGATTTACAGAGCTTCACATCAGAAGTCCTAGTCCTGCAATAGGTTTTCTGGGCTCAGTGACAGTGTTTTGCTCTGTTCGTGGGCACTGGGCACAAGCCCCGCGCTCTCCTACCTGCCTTGTTGCAGGTGAAGTTGGATTGGGTAGAAGGCAAATTGTCCTCCCCAGTACTCCTTCATGATCTTAGTCAGAAAGGAAGAATTCTTGCTATTTTTATAGACTGCAATACCGATGATTTTACAAGCATGTCAAGATGTTAGGTGACTTTATAAACATAATTTTCTGTAATTATTAGTACTTTGGAAATATCTGTGTCACTAACTTGATTTTTGCAGAGCTGATTTGATCATTTTGATCTAACTTTTCCAGTCACCGTAACAGAAAATTCTGGATAAGGCATTTAATAAAAATATTTTCTAAGGATGTTTTTAGAAGTTAATTATCTATATTTTGTAGTGATAATCCATTTTCTTATACGTATTTATTTCAGATGGAGTATGAATGTAAAATATAACTTCCTAACTTTTTGGAGGAATGGATAACATTAAAAAAAGATTACTAAATTTTTGCCTGGAGATTAAGCTCATTAGTTTTTAAGTTACTAATACTGATGACAAATAAGGGCATTTTGGTTAAAATGCAGCTGACTGAAGCATTACAGGCTGTTGATGATACAGAAAATGCGGAAACAAAATCTTCAGGAGCAGTGAATATGGCAGAAGCTACTAGCAAGTTGCCTGGTGATACAAATGGGGAAGAAAAATGGTATTCTTAAATATTTGCTGAATATTGCATTTGATTTATTGAAATTGTTCCTGTTGGTAAGCAGAGAAGGATTTTTTTTTTTCTTTAATACTCAAACATGCTGAATATCCTCAACTGATGATCGCAAATATCACTATACGTAGGCCCTCCCACAAAGAAACAGGCCACAGAAAAAGCAGCAATTCTTGTGATTTGGCTGTTTCCTGCAACAAAATAAATCACATGTTTTCCCTTCTTGTCCTCTAGCAATAATTAACTACTCATTTTCTCAGAACTGTGAGCACTCCTACTGACCCTCTTTACGTTAATATGCAGACACAGCACTAAGTGGAGAGCTGCGTTGGCTTTTTCTGCTGTGCCACACAGCCCAAACTGTGTGTTTGCTAGCGGAAGGCAATTATTTTCCAACTTCTGAGAAAGTGCTGCAAAAGCTATACTGTAAACGTGTGGGCAATTCAGGGCTGGAGGGCAAAAAACAAAGTGCAGGTTAAAGCCTAAGTTACTCTCATTTTCACCTGTCAGCCTCTTATCCTAGGTGTGCTCCTGCACAGTGCAGCCTGCACAGTGCAGCCTGTGTGGGCCTTGCAAGAGAAATGGTGCAGTGTTAAGGCACTTTCTTGGAAATTAGGACACTTGTGGTCAGTCCCCTGTTCCACCACACTTTTTCTGGCATTGGGTAAGTAATTTAGCCTTTGAGATTCAGTTCCCTGTCTGTAAAATGGGAATAATGGTACTCCCCTTCCTTGGAAGGCATGGTGAGGATAAATACAACTGCTAGAGGAAGATCTTTTGTAAGTTGGGAACAGCTTAAACTCTAAACGCTGAGAGCAGAGAGGGTAATTGCCTACCTGCTTTGTTCCTCGGCCGACCTTTCAAGAAAGGAGCTGGCAGTCATGTTGCTTGCACAGATGGTGCAGGCTACATTCACATCTTTGAAACCTGCTGCCCTCAAAAATCAAGCAGCAGAGCTGCAGTCTTTTATTATTTGTTAAACTCATGTTCCATCCCTCATGACTTCCTTCAGGCACTGTTCTTTTGGATCACAGCAGTCCCTGCCCTTTTCTTCTATTCCGTTACACCATTTTCTGTGTGATTTCCCCTTCTCTTAGACTGTGTCTGGAGGGAGTGCAGCTCGGGCAGCCTTCCAGCTTTCAACTCTGTATGTCTCCAGTGTTCAGAAAGGAGCTAACTGCCTCTGGGTTTAACTCAGAGCAAGTCCTGTGCCACTATGGCAATACTATCACAGCCCAAATGTGAATGGGCCCAACAGAAGACTGGAGTGAACATACTTTATATTTGTCATATATATCCCCCCCCTTACCCTTCCATGCCCTTCCAGTAGTGTAATCAGCAGTGAAATGGTTAATGATGAGCCTAGTATCCAGCTTTCAGGAACCACTCTGGAAGGTGGGTTTTTTTTTGTTGTTGTTCTTTTTCATTTTATAGAAAAGATGTTTGGTTCTTGTCTTCTCTAATAGCACGTCCTTCCTTCTTTTACCTGCCCAAAAGAGTAACTACAAGTCTTGCAAGAGAGCTGTAAGTACTGAACAGGGGAAGCTGGATCACAGTCAAAAGTGACAAGGAAGAACTGGAGATATCGCAGGGAAAAGAGTGTCCTGGAGGAGCTTCCAGTTTGGGAGTAGATTGGCAAAGCAGAGGTGGTAGATGGAGAGGAGACAGGGCACGCTGTGAGGACACAGCTGAATGTGCAGGGCCATGAGTGGCATGGGCCATGTTCATGGGCCACAAGCCTTCCCTAAGTCTGCTGCCACACAACAAACAGGGACACCCTCTTCCCTCCTGCTCCCTCCTCAGCACAGCAGGGGTAGGCATTTCAGAAGGAAGTTCCTAGTGAAGATAAGGAATCTCTCCTAGTTATCATGAGAGAAGGACATCTGAGAAGAAAAATATAGGTATCCTTCATCCTACCTTTGGAGGTCATAAATCGTAGAATAATCCAGAATAATCCAGGTTGGAAAGGACCTCATGCCTCTTTCAGGTCACAGGAAAAGGTGCCTCCTTCACTATGAACCTTTTTCTGTGATCCAGTGCGGAGAGTACCAGCAATAGCCACCAGGGCAGTGGAGGAAGGAATTCCCACTGCTTCAGCAGAAATTCCTGTAGGAGGAGTCCTTCTCAGCCACCCTTTCACCCTCAGACACGTGTGAGAGTCACATGTCACACAGTTTAAGAAGATATTTACTCTTTTCACCCTGGATAAAAAGAAGTCACTGTGGATATTAATCACTATCATTTGCTCCCTGGTCTGTTCTCTGAGTCCTTAGGGTGCTCAGATTCAGATTTCCTTCCCACCCACAGGTAAGAGAAAGGGTCATGGGAGAGCTCTAACTAATGCTCAATATTACTGCCTGAGCAGTACTGTTAGCCTGGAGACCGGTAATCTCAGGAGAATCTTCATTACCCGCTTGCAGCCCTCATTCCTGTGGTCCTCACAGTCGTCCTGTGAGCAGCTGGCAGGCTTGCTATGTCCCATATAACAAGGAATTTCTCAAAGGTCAATCCTAACTCCCAGGCCCCATATTAAAGCATATGAGACACTAATTTTCCCATTATTTTCTGTGTTTTTATATGGTTGGAATGATTTTGTGGCCTTTTTCGCCTGTTCCCTACCTGCCTCTCAGCACTCCTAGCTGAAAAAGCCTGTAAGGAACTGGGCAGGATCTAAGCAAGGCATCCCCATCTGTGAAGTCTGGTAATCCTATTAGCCTGTCACAGACTTCCGCTTAGTGGTTTCCAGCTAACAAGCTTTTGATTCATGGTAAAAACTTTTTGTTATTTTTCTCCGACACTTCGTACAGTTAAATTTTGTCCCAGAGCTATCATTCTAACTATTCCAAGTCTTTTGTAGTTGCTGTTGCCTCCAAGCTGTTGAGTCAGAACATTTCACTAGTACACTGCTACTTTTTGTGCCAATTACATGAAATTTGTCCCAAGACAGTTCTTTGAGGAATGCCACTACTAACATCCCTCCAGACCAATATTCCCTTTTTGTCATTTCCCCTTTAGCTAACTCAACACCTGGCTTACAGTCCTTTGGTAGTCTTGATTGGTCACTTCCCATATGAT